ACTAATCCAGTCCTTTATCCTTCACCCGTTTGTATCCTATTTTTATGGCCTTGAATCAGATTGAGGTGCTTTGGACAAGACCAGCTAATTTCTACTAAGCCAGCTTAACCCAGTCTGCTAGTCCTCAGCAATAGCTTAGAGTATCAGGTTTGGGAATCAAAGGGGAAAATTCGTACTGTCTATCTTACCTAGATTCTCTGGTCAACTGGAAATCATATGTTTTGACTAGCGCTCTTGTTAACTCCTTAATTCATATTATTTTGAAGTATGTTTCCTTTGCAAGAAACATAATGTTCTCCAAAAAGGAATTTGGCAAAAGCCCCAAGAAAGGAAGATCTTTCTCTGAATAAGTATCAGTGACTTTGGTTCACTGTAACTTTTGGCCACTTACTAATAAGTAGTAATAATGAACTGCTTCTAAATGTCTTAGGGAATAGAAGTGGTTTGGTTCCTGTTAGACTAAAAGATTTTATGTTGGCAGCGGCTCTCCTGTTTAAAGACTACTTGGTTAGTGGATCTTTTCCCAACAGTACTGGCAATTCTGAATGTCCCCAATAGTTGGAATCTTGTTATCCTGCACAAGGGCACTGGATTAAACAAACTGTTCAAAATCACATAGAGCAGACTGGTAGAGGAGGTGGAGAACAATGTCACTATTGTTTATTTGAGAGCTGAGTAGGCTAATGATAGCCAGTGAGGTCAAGGTTAGGATTCAGAAATGCTTTTCAGAATTCCAGCAACTTCAAGCATCTCAATGTTTAACTTGTCAGACAAAGTCTATGAAAAGAGGGAAAATAACCAAGTGATACTTACACTAGAATATGTTTCAAAGGTTAATGAGTAGTATATCCTGGTCTAACAATCCAGGGAAGATTTTATCTCGACTTTGTTGCTTAATGAAACACGGGTTCTTATATCACTTGAGAAAACCACATCTTGCCAATATTTTCTTCCTGAGATTCTGAGTCTACATGAACTTATCATTCTTAACCTCAGTGTAGGGGGTGTCATGTAACTTGCACATAAATACCCCAACTGCTGGACACATATTATCTGCAGACTGAGTGCACTGTATCTATTTATCTGAGTCATCAGCTGATAAAAGCTAATTTTGTCAATAGCCAAACAAGAGTCTGTCTTGGGCTCCTCATTAAATGATGTACTCAACTTAATTTGTGATGCCGGCATACACCCTCTTCTCTGTGATGAGTAGGCTAGCCCTTAAATATAGTTGCTAACCACATTACCTTTGTCAAGTGTTGCCAGCCATGATTCTCAACATTTCACACCCAACTCTAAGAGGCTCTGGAATGTGGCAGAAGCAAACCTGGTGGGAATAATGGAGCCGAGAACAGAGACAGGACTGGAGTTGGGGACATCCTCAAATTGGTCAAAAAGCTGAATATACTGAATAAAATAGGGACTTAGTAGGTATTTCTAGTGAACTGAAAGTTGCCACTAGTGAAATATCACTTCTCGGGACGCCTGGGTGGCTCAGTCGGTTAAGCGTCTGCCTTCGGCTCAGGTCATGATCCCAGCGTCCTGGGATCGAGTCCCCCATCGGGCTCCTTGCTCTGCAGGGAGCCTGCTTCTCCCTCTGCCTCTGCCTGCTGCTGTGTCTGCCTGTGCTCTCTCTCTCTCTCATAAATAAATTAAAAAAAAAAAAAAAAGAAATATCACTTCTCACTGAGTCCCAACGCCTTTCTCTTTGAAATTGTCTTTAGCCGGAATTGAAGACCTAACACCAATTCTCAGAGTCTATAAAAAGTTGGTATAGTGGTGTCTGAGAGGTTAAGTTGGTTAAGTGTCTTATTCTTGATTTCTGCTCAGGTCATGACCTCGGGGTTGTGAGATTAAGTCCTATGTTGGGCTATATGTTCCGGCTAGAGATTGTTTGTCCCTGTCCCAACCCCACTGTCCCTCCAAACCCCACCCACCCTGCTCTTGAGCACAGGTGCTTGAACTTGCTCTCTCTCTCTCTCTCAAATTAATTAATTAATTAAATCTTTAAAAAAAAAAAAGAGTTGGTATATGGTTGAGAGGATTGTCCACTTTCTAGCTATGTGATGTTGGATAGGGCATTTAAAGTCTGTTGGCCTCAGCTTTCTTTAAGTGGGGATCTTAATAGTCACCTGTCTCACCGGGTGATGGTGAGGAATAAGTGAGTGAACATGTGTGAAGACTTGAAACATTGGTGTATAATAAATGCTGCATCATGTTAGCAAATACCAGCGTAGGGATGTCGCAGCCACGCTATATAAGGTATCATATACGAAGACTGTGTCAAATAATATTCATAACAAAATCTGTGTTAAGGTAATTTTAATCTTTTTGATCTAGAATGAAAATGATCGCTTCTAACTGCAGTGTGTTCATTTAAAATGACTATCCAGGGGCGCCTGGGTGGCCGAGTGGGTTAAAGCCTCTGCCTTCGGCTCAGGTCATGACCTCAGGGTCCTGGGATTGAGCCCCGCATCGGGCTCTCTACTCAGCGGGGAGACTGCTTCCCCCTCTCTTTCTCTGACTACTTGTGATCGCTGTCTGTCAAATAAATAAATAAAATATTAAAAATAAAATAAAATAAAATGACTATCCAATTTTATGTGCCTCATGGAATAGGCCCTACGTTGCTTTTAAAAAAAAATAAATCCCAGGTGGCATTTATCTTTCTCATAAAATAAAGTCTAGAAAAAAGCATAGCCATTTTAATTTTATAACAAACAAAAAAAAAAAAACAAAAATCACAATGATGGGTAAGTGGGGCATTATTTTTATGACTAAAATTTTTACGACTCAGTTTTTTACGCCGTTTTCTCATAATCATCTCATTCTTTGGCCAATAATTTCCCAATTCTGTTAGAATGAAATTAGCTTTTAAGTGTTCAGGGCTGGAATTTCACTTTCACTGACATTTAACTATTGAGTTAATATTTGGAAAGACTATAAAAGACAGGATATTAGTTTTTTAATATTGCTTTTAGTACTACTCAGATGAACATGTTCTTTGATAACAGGTGTGAACAAATTTTTTTTTTTGTAAAGGGCCAAATAGTAAACATTTGAGTCATATATAAATACATGAAAGGCCATACAGTGTCTGTCGCAGCTCCTTGACTGTGGCATTGAAACACAGAAGCAAGCAAGGACAACAAAGGAATGAATGTGGCCATGTGCCCAAAACACCATATTGAGAAAAACAGGCAGCAGGCCTGATCTGGTCTATGGACCACAGTTTGCTGACACTTGTTCTATGCAATTCTTTTTTGTTTGTTTGTTTTTTAAACATGTATGCATGCATACATGTATAATGTGTATTTGCACACTTAGATACATACACGGGCATGTATTTCAAAATCATGAAGTGTAAAACATGCTTTTTAAGGAATTTAAGGAAAATAGGGAATTTAGAGAAGAAACAAAGTTTGATATTCTATTTAGCATTCATTGATTAAATACCCAAGGCTTTAATTTGAACAAGGTGCACAGCTGCTCTACCATTCTATTTTTGCTCTAAAATCAACCTACAATGTTTAATATGATTTTAATCAAAGCTACCCTTAAAAATGCTTTCAGTAGTCTAAAGTTATTGTGTAGGACTCTATAATAATGTTATATATATCCCAAATTTGAGAACCCCTGAGCCTAACAAAAGTGGAAAAAAAAAAAAAAAAAAAAGAAGCTGTGTTCAGATCAGATGTGTGGGCAGTGCAAACTTTTTTTTCCTAAAATAACTATTAAATTTTATGAGGGATTGGAGAATTCTATTGTGTTTCTTCCCGCCTGCGAATGTTCTGTTCTTCTTCTTCTTCTTTTTAATGTTAAGCTTTTCTAGCTTTACTATGCATTAAAAGACTTGTTTGCTGCTACATATTCTGTGTGAATGTTCACAGATTAAGTGAACTATTACATGTAAAAGCACTGAATACAGGACCTGGCTCAGTCAATGTCTGTCACGCTCGAATCAAACCCTGTCTGCTCATATCCCTAAACACATTTTTCTTTGAAGGGTGATGGAGAAGAAATGAACCAACTGCTTGCTTCTTGTCATTCCACATTTACATTTCCTGTTGGGTCTTGAAGAAGAATTAGTAGTTATCAAATTTGAGTCTTGAGGCCCTTTGCTTGGAGAGCAACCTCTTCCTTGAGGATATTTGATAGGTCCATCCACTCTCCCAGGTGTGAAATCACACAGCCCTGGTGCTAACTCATAGAGATGCATAGATTTAGATACCTGTTGTAAGAGAGCAAGATTTCAAATTGGGCCTCAGCTCTGCCCTTGCTTGTAAGGACAAATCACTTATGTGTTGAGGATGATGAAACCTGAATAGCTGAAGAGATATAAAGCAAACCTAGTGCCTTCTATAAGTGGGCTTATTTCCAGAAACCACTTCAGTAAGAAGTACCCTGTATTGTTCTAGTGAAATTTGTAAGCAGAACTACTAATCCAGAATGACTTTTAAGATTCCGAATGTCAAAGTAAGTTTAGTACGCTGTAGGGAAAATTTAATTAGTTGTTAAAAAATTCCTCTTGATCCTGTGCTGGAGGAAATCAATGCGACTGGGCTAGAGGCCCAGTCCTTTAGTGATATAATTAACAATTTACCAGGATGAATATATTCTCCTGTGAGAGAATACAATTGCCTTCTATTTATTAGCTGAAACCAGTTTAAACAATCTAAAATTTTATTTTTCTTTGGATATAATACTTGTAAAGCTTCACTAGAGCGAAGCTAAAAAGTGAGAAAAATTATGCAGCTGTTAGCATTTTCATTTCTCAAATCCAAACACCTGAAAGAGCACTTAGCTGGTTATAAATGCTCAGTGTTTGACTATAGAGAACAATCACGAAATTCATCTCATGGCCTCATAATTGCCCAATAGAAAAAGAGACAGCCGCAAGTTGAATTTGGTATTGATCTACATGATGTAACAGATTTATATGGATCACAGATTAAATGATTAATGTCCTAAATTCTCTCTCTCTTTTTTTTTTTTTGCAGAAAGAAGCCAGAACATATTATTAACCCTTTGAGAATACAACATAACGAATTTTACCATTTTACTGCTTCCTTGAGTAGGTAAGAAAAACCCTGTCTTCTCTGCAATAAAAGAATTATCCATACTTGTGAAAAATAACTCTCTTTTGACCACATTTTAAAAAAATCTTCATGAAATGAATATCAGGTTTGATAAGGGAGAAATATATGTGAATTCTACAGCTAATAGATTTAAGATTATTAAGTAACACTTCATAATGTTTTAAATGATATAATAGTAAAAGAGTGAAAGGATCTTTCTCACTCTTTTAATGAGAACTGAAAATGAAATGAGAACTGAGCTCAGCCTCTTTCTCCTGCTATGGGTAAAAACACCAGCAGTATTTTCTCAGCACGCACTTACTATGTGCCAGATGTGACTTGCATGACTTACTTTACATAAGTAACCCCTGTATTCCTTACAAGAACTCTGGGAGTAGATACAGGGATCATCCCCATTATACAGATTAGGGATTTGAGGCAGAGAGAGAAGAGGCAAGTAGATGTACCCAAGGTTTTATATATAGGTCTGAAGGTGGCAGGCACTGGGAGAATACCAGCCCCAGCTATTAATTACTTTGAGAATAACTTCATGTTGTCGTAGAAATGCCTAGCCGTCAGATTCCCCTATGTCCTTAATTGGTTCTATCCAAATTTCTGGAAGAAGTAAATAAATAAATAAATAAATAATGCATTTACCAAGGGTCATAGCAGGCAGCATTTATTTTGTGTTTGTACTTGTTACTTTACAATTATTGCATGAATAAATAAAAGACTATACGTTAGCACAGTTTACAAACAGAACTTTTTCTTTTATTTTACATCCTTCTTTTACACTCAAAATTCCTATGTTAAAGCAGAATAATGGGACAGAAAGAATACAAATGAATGACTTTTTATTCTACAAAATGAAGAATGTATTTTAATTTAATTCTTTCTACTAGAGGAACTGAACGTGCGATCTTAAACTGGCCACAGCAATATCTGCTTTACTGTCTTCATTATTTCTTTATCACCTTATTTTTAAGTTAGAAACTTCACAAAGTTTAAAAAAAAATAGAAATATTATCATAAATACTGAAACATCAGCCAGATAGATTAAACAAATGCTAGTATTAAACTTTGTACAGATCTTTTCTGATGAAATAAGTCATCCTCAAGAAAAAGAAAGTTCTCTTGCTTCTTTTCCTTTCTTTCTGAAAGGTTTTACAATCCTGAAGATGATATAACCTTCCTATGTGTGTTCTAATATTTTAATGGTGTATGTGAAACAATAGGCCGTATAGTAATTTACATTTGGAAAGTTTACCTAACCAGTACCATACTGAGACTTTCTTTTGCCTTCACCCAACATTACATTGAGAGATTCAGCCGTATTGATACAGGAAGCTCTGGTTGACTTATTTTGTCATAAAGTTTATTCATTCTAACGTTTCAGTCATTTTGGAACTTGGTATTATTAATTGCTGCTTCCAAATAACTTTTAGCATTTTGAAGATTTAATGCCAAAGTGGTTTAACCGTGGCTTTCAATGCATCTTTGTCATTTGTGTGTAAGAAATCCGAAGTTCTTAATATGTGCTACCATGCCAATTCTGTTTATGTTTTAGGTTTTTTTCCTATTAGAAAACGTATCTTTTAGTGGCTATAAGGATCTTACTAACTAATTGGATTCCTGGGTTTTTTTTTTTTAACTGTTTTTGCCATAATACAATAATTGAAATCTGTTTTATTTACCCATGGATGAAATACTGACTCTTCCCAAATGCAGTGTGAATACTGCCTTTGAAATTTAAAAGGTACTTAAAAACACTCTCATTTGGTCCATGTTAATTGCTCATATTTCCCTCAAAAATCATGAGGAAAACTTAAAGAAAAACGATTTTCCTTAGTTTTCTCTAACAGTATAGTTAATTCTAGCATTTGTTTAAGGTAAAATTATGAAATATCAATATGCATTAGTAAGATCTATCGATATAGAATCTTTCATAACTTATTTTCTTAAGGGAGTAGACGATTACTCTGGCTCAGTTGGTGAAGAAAGTAGAGATAAACTAGCCTTTGGTGGGTATATCTGAGTAAATGCAAGACTGTGTAAGCCTCCCAGGCCAGAAGTGCAGCAGATTTGCAGATGGGGAAATCAAGGCCCATATACGTCAAGCAGCTTAATCAAGATATAGTGATTGCAGAGCTAGATTCAAACTCATTTCTCTTGGATTCCAAAACTATACTTGCTAGAGAAAGAGAATTGAGAAAAACTACATAACCTATCTGACACAGAAATAGCAATTTCATTTATTCCACTAATATTTACTGGGATCCTTTTATGTGACTTGAAGGGAATGATTTTAGAAAAGCAAGGATGAGAGGCACCTAGGTGGCTCAGTCAGTTAAGCGCCTGACTCTTGATTTTAGCTCAGGTCATGAGCTTATTGTTATGAGATCAAGTCCTGCTTTGGGCTCCGGGATCAGCGGGTAGTCCGCTTGAGATTTCCTCTCTCTCTGCCCATTCCCCCTCCTCGTCCTCTCTCTTCTCTCTCAAATAAAAAATAAATAAATCTTTAAAAGAAGGGGTGCCTGCCTTCGGCTCCGGTCATGATCTCCGGGTCTTAGGATTGGACCTGCATTGGGAATCCCTGCACAGCGGGAAGACTGCTTCTCCCTCTCCCTCTGCCCCCTCCCCCCACCCCTACTCATGCTTGTTCTTTCTCTCTCTCAAGTAAATTGAAAGAGAGAGAGAGAGAGAGAGAGAAAGAGCGAGCAGGCAGGGAAGACATAATATCTATCCAGAGAGAGAAAACAGGCTATTTAGAAATGGCAAAGACTCCTTCAGTAATATCACAAAAGTGACTATTTAATTTTTGCTATGCTAAACAATTTAACATTGTTTACCAAATAATTACCTGTCTGGTCCCCAAACCATGCCAATTAGATTAAATTGAATGGGATAAGAAGAGTAAAAATGCTTTGTAAATAACATAATCTTTGTAATCATTTGCTGTTATTGCTAATTATTCTATAAATTTATAATTGAATATTTCAAACCTAATACATGTAATTCTAAATGTAGAGCTTGGTATATGTATCTAAAGTTTAAGAGTCTTACTACTTCATGTAATAACATCTCTTTGACACAAAAGTTCCATGTAAACATAACAGTGAGATGAACAACCCTGACAATTGGTTGATTTTCAGCCTCTACTACCTACTAGAGGTATATTTTTTTTTTATCCCCTTGAGCCTCATAGCAGATAATAATGGTACCAAGCTGGTTCCTGTCCAGAATGTGATCGTTTTTCATTATCCCTACTTGTAAGGCCACTTTCATCCTGACCACTGCAATAGCCTCCTACGCCCAAGCTTGCTCTGCTGTGGTCTGTTGGTCACAGAATGCGGTCTGTTATAAATCTTAATCAATTGATATAATTCTTTTGCTCAGAATCCACCCAGGGCTGCCCATAATATTCAGTATAAAACCCACTCTCCTACTATGGCCAACAAGGTGCAATACAAGCTGACTTCTTGTCCTTCCCCGACGTCATCTCAACATCCTTCCCCCCAGTTGAGGACTGAGACTGTGAGACATTCTCAGCTGTGTCTAGAACAGTATCTCCATCTTGGTGGACCCTCACTTGCTAAAGGATTGACTAGGTATGCAAGGGTTACTGTGGAATAGACACGATGTCTTCAGTGAACATCAGCGATCGTTGTTGCATTTTTAAGGATTCTTTCAGTTTGTCTTAATAGAGTCAGTTGCTTCTGGAATGCTGAGGAACTTTCATGCACGATTTTGACACATGATTTTATAGCATTATGATAAAACTTTATTCTGGGGCGCTTGGTGGCTCAGTGGGTTAAGCCTCTGCCTTCGGCTCAGGTCATGATCTCAGAGTCCTGGGATCCAGCCCGGCATTGGGCTCTCTGCTCAGCAGGGAGCCTGCTTCCCCCTCTCTCTGCCTGCCTACTTGTGCCTACTCTCTCTCTCTCTCTGTGTCAAATAAATAAATAAAACCTTTAAAAAAAATAAAATAAAACTTTATTCTACTGATATATAATCTTGAATCTTAATTTATAGTATCAAAACCACAGAGACAAATTAAGCACAAATCAGCTGGGTAGAAATGAGAAATCCATCTCCGGAGGAGAAAATACTTATTTTATAATTACCAGCCATCCTCTATCTAAAGAACAATATCAAGACTTGCTGCAACGTGGGTAACCAGGCTTGCTCTGTCGGTTACGCACCCTACTCTTGATTTCAGGTCAAGTCATGATCTTGGGGTTGTGAGATCTAGCCCCTCCTCAGGCTCCGTGTTCCGCCAGGAGCCTGCTGGAGGATTCTCTTTCTTTTTCTATGCCCCTCCCTCCTTTCACAATAAATAAATAAATAAATAAATAAATAAATAAAACCTTAAAAAAAAACCTTGCTACAACCTGATATTTCTTAGATTTTGCTTTATCTTCAGAATAGATGTTTATCTTTTCACTCATTGATGGGTGAATTTTAACACAATTTTCTGTAAAATAGGCTGACTTTTTTTTTCTTTTATTTTCACGATGCTCCTTAGGAGCAGCACTTGACAAGTGTTTACATTGTTGAGAACACTTGGCAAGAGAAAGACAAACCGTCAGACCACAATAACCTCAACAGTAGGGAAAAGAGAAGGAAAACTTGGTATTTTCACCATCGTCTCTGAAAATAAGTATCTTGGCTTATGCTGATTACTATCTCAACAGCACTTGGCTCTGGCCCGTGGCCCTCTGTGTGAATAATTTTAAAGGCAGATTAAGCATTCCAAAAATAAACTGTATTGGTAAATTAGGATATCCGATGTTTCCTTAATGAAGGCCTCTGCTCATCTGTACTATCAGCTGGCGGTTATACCCAAACCCCAAATTGTTCTGGCTCTTACTGAACAAGAACCTATTCCAGGGGTGAGGTTTTCAAGAAAGACATTTCATGGTTAACCAGAGACAGAGAAAGGGAGATTTGCCCACATACTCTGGCAGGAGTTAAAATAACAATAACAGTCCTCCTACTTA